GGCCCTATGCTGTACTTGAAAGTGGTTTCTACAAACGTGTGGTTGGGAGAGATGAATGATCAAAGGCTAGCCAGGGGACAGGGGTGTCAGGAATGTCCCCTCCCGGCCTTGTTGGTCACACTGACAGTGTCCTATTCACAGACTGGAACAACTCCCTATTGAGATCTGTTCACATGAGAGTTTGCAGTTTTTATTGCAGAAACATTTGGCAGTTTAGTTCAGGAATGAGTTTCAAGTTGGTGGTTTGTTAGTAAAACTAGTGGATGCTAAGGCCTTCACATCCCCTTAACTTCTTATTTAAAAAAATTTTTTTTAATTTAATTTTTTTTTTAACCACTGGACCGCCGGGAAAGTCCCCATTAACTTCTTATTTTGGTATCCTGGAGGGGCTACTTGTGTGCCTTTCTTGATGCTAAGGACTGGTATTCACCTGTAGAACACAGGAGGAATAATCACAATTTTGCAAAATAGCACTAATGACAAAGAATAGAGGTGGTAGGATGTATTAATACACTTTGAAGGGATGTAGCTATCATTTTTAGTAGGGAGCTCTTTTCTATTATTTGCTTATGCTCTAAATATACAGTAATATCTTGAAAACTGTATTCAGTCACAGGGCATCACAGCTGTGTCTCTTTTATTTTCATGATTACACTTTTCAATTGCTATTATTTATGCGTGTTCGCATTTTTTAAAAAATCTGGTTCCTGATATAATACAAACATTCTTTATTAGCTACCCTTTGCCAGGCTCTGTTATAAAAATTTAATATGTATTAATTTAATATTGATAACTCTAAAAGGTTGTTAGTACCATTTTGCCCATTTTGTGTACTAAGAAACAAGTACGGAGAGATTCAGTAACTTGCTCAGGGTGACATACCATGTGTTTCAGATGTGGAAATCAACCATTTGTGTTAATCCATTTTTTTTTGGTTACTTGTACTGTTCCGTTTGACATGGAGTTCTTGTTATGGATCATTTTAACCAGATTTTTAAATGTTCAATGCTTCGTGGTTTGTAGATAAAGTATTCTTTTGTTGAATTGGTGACAGGTGCAATTCCTCTTTGCAAATGTTACATACCACATGTCTTTTTTGAATGATTATGTGGTAATTATTGTTGGGTTTCCAAATCTTTTGATGTCTTAGAGAAGTGCTTCATTTAGAGTTAAAACAGTTACAGTTTGTGTATTCTTGGGGTAAGACAATTTGTGAAAGTTTAGCAAAATCTGAAAATCATAATTTCCAGGAAATTTTTGAAAAAATTGTAAATTTTCCATTTGCATATGTTTGGACCTCTGAAACGTTTTAAAATGACCTATTTCGTGTTGTTTTCAGTCTTTTGAATTAATTATATCTGACTGATACAAGCGTTATCAGACATGCATGTGCATGTGTGTGTTCAGAAAAACAAGGACCACCTGCCCTGAAGCATGCTCTGCTTCAGATCAGCTGTTCATTCCTGAAGGGCCTGTTGAAGGCATTTGTTCTGAGTGCTTCAGGCTGGGGAGACTGAATGGGCAGCTATTAGAGATTCTTAATCACAGGTAATTGCAGCGGTACATACAGACAAAATGTTCACACACCCAACCCCAAGCTCTGGGAAACTTGCTCTTAAGGCAGCCTGGCGGGGTAGGCTTAAATCAATTCTTCTGAAAGAAACCAGATTTGTATTAATAGCCCACTTTTTGAGATGGCCATATAATGTGACTGAAGAGGCTGTGGATTTAGTACAGTCCAGCCAGCAGCTGTTAGCGATGTAATATTAGCAAATTCCTTCTCCATAAATTCTTTGCATTTTTTCACAAGCACAAGTGGAAACAAAGGAAAATTTGTGTGTGGATGAAGTCAGGATGTATGGAGTCTGCTGAGTGATACCCTAGTCATGAAACTGGATTCTCTTTAAGACAAGTTTATAATCAGGTGGTGAATGTGATGCTGTTAGGGCTGAAGCAGATTTCACCTCTCCTGTGTTTACCCTCTGGATGCTCACAGTATATGCAGGTAGCTTCAGTGGAGTCTAAAGGGCTCCTGAAAGAAAGTTTTGGTAAGCACATTCTTTTACACCTAGTTTAGTAAGGACAGTATCCACTGTGGTTCTATATATGGAGATCTAAGGCCTTAATTTTCTGCCTTTTCCCACATGTCACGACACACACAAAGCTTCCTGAGAATTAGCCCTTGTTTCTGATGTCTAGGAATGCTGTAGTACTTTGTAGTACTTTGTGCTGGTGTGTTTTCTTTGTTTTTAAGTAATATCTACTATGTGTTTTATATATATATATATATATATAGGAGCTTACATTCTACTAAGAAGGTTATAAACAAATAAGTATAAATATATATTATAGGTATATAAATATCAATATATATGTGTATATGTGTGTGTGTATATATATATATATTTTTTTATATATATATTTTTTTTTTTTTTTTCCCATGAGTAGTTAATATGTACAGCTGAGGTTTCAAAGCTGTTTGTGTAGAAACATCTAACTTGTTAATAGATTAGGACTAATACAAACATTTTTTTCTTATGCCATCTTTCATTTTCACAGCATCCCAAGACTTCTATGGTTCAGCTTTCTTTCTGCAAAATATTGCTCAAATCAAGTTCTGCCGTGTTCACGTTGTCTGCTTTGCCCAACTTAACCTCAGCTCACACTGATCTTTACTGTCTCTGAAGCATAGCTTGTAGTTTGTAGTTCTGTTCAGTACAACAGACATTTACTGAGTATCTGTAATATGTCCTTCATGCTAGGGGTGCAGAAAGGAATAAGGCATCCCAAGCCCTTGAAGAGCCAGGATTATTGCGTGCTGAATTATGTTGCACTTTAGTTGTTGGGTGTAAATGCATTTTATCTTCTCAGTGTTATTAAAAATTCATTGGGAACAGAGGCTGAATTTAATTTCTTTTGTATCTTTCCAGGGACTATAGTAAATATTGTCTTTGTCACTTGAAAGTCAGTTAACATTTCTTAAACACTTCCTATGCATCCAAGCATTTTTTTAATGTATCTTATCTTCAGTGACCCCAGAAACTTTTGGAAATTCTTGGTTTTTACTACAGTAAAAACAGGAGTTTTTGTGGAAGAACGAGAATGGCATTTCTTGACTTGGTTTACTTTAAACATCTTCTTTCTCTCATCTACTCTATGTAGTTATATGAGGTTATGAAGAAGAAAAACATGGGGAAATGCTTGTGAGGTCATTTAAGTAACACAGTCATATACCATAGGCTTCCAATTACACAAAACATCTTTTCCTTAGAGGAAAAACATCTGGAAGATAGTGAACCAAAATGTTGATAGGTGCTGTCTTTGAGTAGCAGGTCTTATGGCTGATTTAAAAATATATATATATTATTTATTTATTTTGGCTGTGCTGTGCAGCACGTGGGATCTTAGTTCCCCGAACAGGGATCGAACCTGTGGCCCCTGCAGTGGAAGCACAGAGTCCTAACCACTGGACCACCAGGTCTTACGGCTGATTGTTTTCTACTTTTCTCTTGTTTTTCTGACTGATTCTTTTGGTTTTTTTCCCCCAAGTTTTCTTTGATAAGGATTTTTTTTAATATAATGAAAACAGTTGCATTTTGGGGGCCTCCTAGACAAAATAGTGGAATTTTAAATTTGACACTTAGTAAAGATTTTCTTTTAAAGTGGGAAAACTTGGTTAAAAGCGATAGCATGTGATTGTGGCTTTTTCTAGCTCCTGAATTAATGTCAGCTGCAGTGCAAGAAGGACGGGCAGCCTTGAAGTTGGGTTTGATCACGCATTCTTTGTGACCCATTTGAGAGATTTGCTGTTACTGGCTCTTGGGTTGGGCAGCCAGCTGTGGCATCCTCAGCAAGTGCTTAGCTGGAAAACTGAAAGAGGGTTGATGAGAATACCTGCCTCTTCCTTTTTTTGAACAAACAAACGGAATCATCTGAGTAGCTGCTTTGGTCTGCCTTTTCGGCATCAGCCCGTGTTTACTGGGCCCCTCGTTCGTGCCAGCCGGGCAGCTCCTGGGGGACTGTTTTCTTTGTCTTGGGTGATACAAATACCAGGCCAAATTGACTTCCTTGGGAAACAGACTCTGAAAGATGTTTCCTGAAGTAAGCTGACAGCTGAAGTTCCCTTATCACTTCTTCCTGCCCACCAGGACTTCCTCGTGGGATGTCTTTCTCTAAGGAAAATATTTGACGTCTTTAGAATGAAGTGCAGCTGTCCGGAGGATTACAAGGAATGCAGCACATCCTAAGACAACTGCCTTTTCTTTCCTTTTTTCTTTTTTTTAAATTTGGTGCCATGTTTTTCCTCTAAAGTGTCTCTACCAGGGCTCTGGAGCTCAATCAGCCAATCCATCATTATTAGGCAAAAATCTCCATTTTCATGGCAGTAGAGCTTTCCACCGGCAGAACAGGGACAGCTAAGATAAGCGCTTCCCCAGACCAGAAACATCACACAGTTTAGGTAGTTAATGAACAGAGTAGCACTTTGGGTAAATGTTTTACGTGTTTAGAAGTGAGAGCACTTACTTTGGGCTGGCCTGGTAGAGGAAAATTTCAAGAAGCAGCTGGACTTCGGGCAGTAATTTGGTTGACTTAGTGCAGATTTTGGGGGAATGGACGTGTTAGGGGCCAGTGAAGTGGAGGAAATACTGTGAGCAAAGGCGTGGCATTGGGAATGCATATGTTGTATGAGTTATCATAATGAGAACTAATAACAGCTGCCAGTTATTGAAAGTCTGCGCCAGGCACTGCGGAGAGCGCTACGTTATGGGGGGTCTTAGCCCATGTCAGTGGTCAGTCCCTATAGGGCTCACATTGCAGGTGCTGAACCTGAGGCTCAGGCAGGTTAGTTACCTGGCCCAGGTCACAGCTGGTAAGTTGAGGAGCCAGATAGATGGTCATGGACCTTATTATGTAGGTTCTAGAAATTCATGGGGCAGTTTGAAGCAGGAAGTGATCTGATCAAATGATGTTACATGTGTTGGACTGATATTATATTCAAGATGGCGGGAGAGGGTAGGTCAATTAGGAAGCTTCTAGAATAGTTCACAGTCACTCCCTTTAGGGTAGGTCTCTTGATGTTGAATTCATTTTTGTTTATATCCGAAAATATATTTATTTTCATCTTGTTCTTGAAGTATAGATTTACTGGGTATGTAATTTTAGGTTGACAGTTATTTTGACTTGGAGCCTGGGCTCCATTACACAGATGCTTTCTGGTTTCCATCGTTCCTGTTGTGAAACCTGCAGTCACATCATCAGCCTGTCTTTCTCCAGCTACTTTAAAGATCTTGTCTTCTCTTTGGCGTTCTGAAATGTTACTATGTGTGTCTAGGGTGCATTTCTTTTTAATTATTCTACTTGTTAGTTTGTTATACTTTGTGTATCTGTGACTTTATATCTTTCTGGAGAATTCTCAGGTAGTGTGAGTTCAAATACTGCCCAGCTTCTATTTTCATAACTCTTTCCTTTTGGAACTCTGATTAGATATATTCAGTCTTCCATCTTCCAAGACTGTTAACCTTTCTGTTGTAATTTCATGTTCTTCTTTCTTTGTGCTGTTCCGGGTTATTTATTTAGTTTTGTTTTACAATTGTTTCTTTTGCCAGCCATGTCTAATCTGTTATCTAACCAATGTATGAAGTTTTTTTTTTAACCCATTATATTCATTTCTAAAAGTTTACTTGATTCTTTTTATAATCTGGTTTCTTTTGCCTGCTCATTTTCACTCCTTTTTATTTTATTTATTTATTTTTTAAAAAATAAATTATTTTATTTATTCATTTTTGGCTGCATTGGGCCGTCTTTGCTTCGCACAGGCTTTCTCTGGTTGTGGCGAGCGGGGGCTGCTCTTTGTTGTGGTGCACAGGCTTCTCATTGCGGTGGCTTCTCTTGTGGAGCACGGGCTCTAGGCGTGCAGGCTTCAGTAGTTGTGGCTTGCGGGCTTCAGTAGTTGAGGCTCACAGGCTCTAGAGCACAGGCTCAGTAGTTGCGGTGCACGGGCTTAGTTGTTCCACAGCATGAGGGATCTTCCTGGACCAGGGCTCGAACCCGTGTCCCCTGCATTGGCAGGTGGGTTCTCCATTGCGCCACCAGGGAAGCCCTTACTTTTTTATTTTTAAACATTTCACGCACAGCTGTTTTATATTCTGCATGTGAGACTTCAAATATCTGACGTTCTTGGGGGTCTAAATCTAATGTTTGTTGTTTCTTATGACTTGCAGTGACTTGTTTTTCTTTACTCGTAAATGATGTTTGGTTGATCGTAATATGTGCAGATCTGGGGATGCTTTGTGTGAGAGACATGGCCACCTGGGATGGCTTTCAGGGCCTGGCAGTGTTTGGAAATCTCAGGTCAGCTCTGCCTTCCTGCTGGCCTATTGGCGCAGTCTCCCTAATGACCCTCAGGGTCATGCCCCACCCATCCTATTATTTTCTGGGTTCAGCCTACAGCTATTTTACTTGCTGCGTTAAAGATCACCCACTTCTCAAGAGCCCAGAGGTGCAGTAAAAACTGCAGTTTGCTTGCATGGGCTCTCCAAAGTTGGAGTGCCGAGGCCTTTTGGAGAAGCTAACCCATGGCTGGAGCTGGAAACAAGAACCTCGGCTTTAACTAACGTAGGCCCCCTTCTATATAACTTAAGGGTCACAGACCTTCCTTTAAAAGTTTATATTCTGAAGGTAATGCTTTTGTTTTCATTTTTCAAGTACAAAATGAAATGAAAATATTGGCTCTGTTTTTTCAGAGCACATATACACCCACGAAGGTCTGATAGGGTTGGGGGAAGGGGTTGAATGAGTCTTGCTAAGCATCACTGCTGTCAAGATGTGACTGTCCTGTTATAAAGACATATATATATACCCAACTGCACAGCCGTTATCCCCATCCTTGGGTGGGTTTATCTGAAGAGTAATGAGCATTGATCATTTGAGACACAGCAACTTAAAATTTGGAGAATTACTGCTGTCCCACACTATACAGGTGTCTGGGACAGCAGCTCCCTACTCTGCTGGTAACAGGAACGGTGAAGAGCTCTCCAGATTTTCAGATTCAGATTCCTACAGGGTGAGGTGAGAGGGACCACCCATCCCAGGCTCCGCTGTCCGCTGCCTCTCAGATACTTTTCTGGGTGGAGGAGGGAACACACGTGGGTGTCAGAAATCCTGGACCCACTTCCCAGCTTTGCACGTGATTCATTTTGGGACCTTGGGGAAATAATATTGGTTTTAATCCAAGTCGCTTGAAAGTAATTTAAGCAGCATTCCTCTTCCCCTACCACCAACACATTCACATTTCTTTGCCCTGTTAGATAACTCACAGTGTGAATTTCAGATCCAAAGAAGTGGTTTTATAGGAATACAAGAGAATTTTTAACTGATTCGTTGAATTACTTTATTTGTTAATTAAAAATTCATTTGAAGATTTTGAAAGCCCAGTTCATAGAAATGTCTTCCTCTTCTGAAAGTCTGGAAGTTTTTAGAGCTGGGTGACCTTGGTTTGAAGCCCTCTTCTACTCCAAGAGGTTGGGAAATTACCTTTCAGAACCTCAGGTTTTGTGTTTGTTTTGTTTTTTTTAATCTGCTACAACCTTACTTACTAGATCTAGTGTTTTAAGAGTTCCTGTGTTTGTTTACCAGGAAGAAAAAAATAGACCACTATTTGGTTGGGTTGGTAATCTGTTGTTTGATATCTAGTGTCAGATATGGAGTTTTCACTCTGACCGTATTTGGTCTCGCTTTTAAGTCCACTGCTGGTAGAAAACGTTAGCCGTGAATCTCTAGAGCAGTGGTTCAGTAAGAACAAATGTTTGTGTCTTTAATTCACCAGGTCCTGTTTCAGACCTTCATCTGTGGAGTAGTTTATGTCAGGAACACCGTGTAGATGATGGAAGTTATGGCCCTTTTTTCCAAATAGTGCTTTCATGTACATATGTGGAAATTTTATATACTATTTTGGGGGTTACAACCCCCAGAAGATCATTTGTGACCTCAGGCTGAGAGGCCTCCTCGAGGGCCCAGGGTCCCTGGAGTGTGTGTCTTCTGAAGTAGATGCTGACTGCATGCAGAGGTCAGGATTGGTATACAAGTGTGTTATTTTATTATTCTGTTATTTCTTCTTTCCCTTAACTCCGTCCCAGCCTGACTTCTGTGAGGCTGTGTCATGGATGGTGACTGTCCGTGTGAAGCATCTGGTCGTAATTTCCGTACATTTCCAGTTTAGCTCACTCTGTGGGTAGGTCAGAGGGAAGACTTTGATTTAAATGGAAAACAAAGTATGCATGTGGCTTCAGAGATGCTTGATTCTGCGATTCTGCAGTGCTCTGTCGTGTTAGCACAGCTCCAGGAGGTGTGCAGGGTGAAGCCCCAGGAAAAACAGAGAAACCCTTGCTGGAGCTGCCTTTCCATCTCCCTCGGTGTCCATGTCTGTCTGTCTCTACCCTAGGCAATGGTGATGAGAGAACAGGCCTAAAGGACGTCTCGTGACGTTGGATGAGGGATCTGGCCCTTGCTGAAGCCAGAACAAATACCCTCCCGGTGGCCCCGTGGCTGACTCCCCTCCCCTGCCCCCTACATGTGGTTTGCAGCACAGAGGGCTGCTCCCCCTGGGCATCCTCAGGCTGGTGTCTTTCTCTGGGACGAGTGCGTTTTCGTGTTTTGTTCCCTCTTCCACTAACACATTTGCTTTCTGTGCTGTTCTCGGCAGGTACGTTTTCTATGTGCAGAGTAAATAAAATGTGTTAGGACTTTGGTGTTTCTGTCCTTGTGCAAGCAGCGCCTTTCAGCTCCCAGTTTTTTCTTTTTTTTTTTTTTTTTTTTTTTTTTTTTTTTGTGAGTGG